CGGTGCCGCACACGTTGGGCTTACCCAATGTTTATCATTTTGATGATTTTGACATGGAGGACCAACTGCATTTTTCATTTTCCACATGAGCACCCTGTTCGATACACGAGTCCATAACACAATCCACATAGAGTCACCATTATCACAGGAATTCAACGGTCCTAGCTCCACTAATTCACAAAATCAACTGGCGCAGCAGAGAGCTAGATAGGAAAAATCTTATACATCAACATCCTCCATAGTGCTACACTACCTCCCTAGGTTGCACATTACTACAGAGACTATCAATTCAAAACATACTGAGCAGGTAATTTGCAAGGAAACATGTAGTTGGAGCCCTCAAATTTAAAAATTTGGACAGTGGACTAGGCTCCAAGCACACAAACAGCCAAACATTCACCCGCATACATAATCGAACATCCCCCCACACTTAAGCACGACATTGTCCTCAATGGAGGAAAGATAAAGAGGGTAGAACGAAGTTACCAGATCAAGGGTGAATGATGGTGGACGGGGCAGGCGGTGCATTCCAGGAGGAGAGAGTAGTCGGAACACAAACACCACACAAAATCTCACAAAGGTTGAGTTATTGACTCTAAAATCAGATAAAAAAAACTGACTCAACCGAGGAGAAAAAGAGAAAGAAATGCAAACCCAACAAACGCTTCTTTCACGTCATGAGCCGGACGATAGTTCCTAAGTTTCGGTCCACCACAAAACCTCCTTGAAATTGAGGTTCTCTTCAATGTGGTGGAGTCTCAAGTCACGAGCATGTGGTGTGGCAGGTGATGAAGGCTCATGCACTTGATGCAGATGAAGTCTCCACCCTCGAGACCTCTTCTTCTCTTCTCTCGTCTCATTGCCCCAAACCAGATATGACAGCATCGATTGGCCACCATCGCATACACCAAGAGGAACCGATGTCGATGTGGCCTTGGTCTGCAAAGAGACACTGCAAATGGGTCCTTGCTAAGTAGTTCCTCGAAGTTTGGTGGAGATATCACAAGTAACTCATAGCCGGTGCAAGCCTCTTCCACCTCAACTTCGTCTTCAGCCTGGATGCCAATTGCTTCTTCAACCTCCCTTTCTTCTTCATGTGGTATCACCCCTGGGAAATGATCAAGAACTCCTCCTGCTTCACTTTTGTCATCCTCCACAACTTCTTTCTGTACCCTTTCTTGCTCTTCTTCTTCTAGCACGGATTGGAGAGCAAGTTGCCAAGCAATTTCTTTCGTGAGATCTTCTTGCATCTCCTCACTCATGCCCGTCTCTTCAAAGCTCTGTGTGGGATGTGGGAAGGGGTGGTCGGCTACGACAGGACATTCTTGATCATGATCTTCACGGGAGCTCTCTGTGATAATCTCTGTTTGCTCCACAATGTCCTTGTAGCCTTCTTCTTCCTCCTCCTCTTCTAGTATGGTAGCAGACGGGTGATCTTGAGCAAGTTGTGCACAAACTTTCTCAACCCGCTCTGGTTGCTTTGATGAGTGCGAAACAGTCTCCTCCAATTCACGGAGGGATGAAGAGTTAGGAGGAGCAACAGATGAGAAAAGGAGGTCCATCTTGCGAGCATACTGCTCCACGAGAAGCCTCAATTCATAGTTTGGATCTAGCTGTGGAGTGTAGCATGGCTCTGCAGAATGGCCCGTGAAGGTCGCCATGGGTAACTCCAGCGCCGATGGGCCTTCTGGTTGTGGGAGAAATTCTTATTGGTAATGAGGTTGTTCTTGATATGCCCAGGGGTCCGGTTGTTCTCCGTAGTAAGGGGGTTGGTATTGGAACCCGAATCCATAGTCTTCTCCTCCTTGATTGCTCCAGGGAGTCTCGGGGTAATACCACTCGGATGGTGGTGGATACCCCCAATGATTGGAGAAGCCATGAGGATCCATGATTCAAATCTGCACCAACAGAAACAAAAACACCCAAGTGAAAAGCAAGGGTGGAAAAGAAAAGAAAAGAAAAACCACTAAAGTAACAAACTTCTGCCTTTCCTAATACTCTAGAAAGTCCCCAGCAACAGCGCCAAAAACTTGACTCGCTATGATACAACTCCTAACAATGGCCAAGTGTAACCAATGAAAGGGACTGCAGTATAGTGGCTCAAGTAATAAATATCGAATCCACGGGTCTCTAGAGTTACTATTACTCAGCTTCAGTTCATTATCTAGCAAACCAAATTAAGATGAAACAACTAAAACTACTCTAACAAACTACAGTTAAAGTTAATCTAATTACAGGTTGGGAACTCACTTAGGTATGATTCCCCCTAGCCACTAGCCAGACTAACGATTGATGATTTCTAACTTGTTTCACTTTCATTCACAATGCGGATAATCCTTGACTAGACCTTGAGTCTCGACTAAAGGAACAAGGCCCTCTTGAGTCAATTGCCTAGAGGGACGTATCCTTCTCTAGAACAACCGATCAAGGCATTCTGAACTAGATTCTCTCTATCGAATGAGGTTCTCAATCGATACAAAGAAGTGAATCCACCCTCGACTAAAGCAATCGATCCACTACTATCAATCTATGGTGCTCTATTGACCTAATCAGGTATTCGCTTTCATAGGATCAAAGCAGAATCAATAATCTCGACTAAAGCAGAATTGAATCATGAAAACATGCATAGATTGAATATGAACTCAAGATTATCAAGTCAGAGTACTCATACAATCATCCAATAAAAAAAACATAGCTAGGGTTCCTCAAAACCTAAGTGAAGGGAAGTTACTCCATAGAGAAGAGAGACTGCAGAAATCTGATCTAGATCTTCAATCTCCATCTCCAAGCTTGATTCCCGAGCTCCAATGGAGAAGAAATCCTCCAAAATAGCTACAAGAATGTTCCCAAGTCGCTCTCTCTCTCTATAGGGTTCGTCCCTTGGGTGTTTGGGATCCAAAAACCCAGCTCTCCCTTTCCTTTGGCTTCAATCTGCCTACAAAACCTCGATTCTGGGCAAAACACGATCGAGGACACGGCCGTGTTTTTCTTTTGCCCGCCCGTGTTTTGCCCCCAGCAGCCCTCATCGGCCAAAACACGGTCGTTCCTAAATATGGACACGGCCGTGTTTTGATTTAGGCGCGCCCGTGTTTTTACTGCCGAACCTGTTCCCCTATATTCAATGCTTTGTTTCTCCCTCGTCCGGACTCCGAATCAGTCGCCGTTTGATCCCACACGCTCGTAGTCTCGTCCTCTTTATTTTCATGACAAGCTTGCATGATTCTTTGTCCATAAAGTGAGGTATAAGTCCATTCTTCTTCAGGTCATGCCTGAGTTTCTTCTCCCTAATCGCCAATTGATCTCTGATTGACTTGAAACTTGCGCTTATGCTTCACTTTATGTGCTAGGACCTGAAATGTGACAAAGGAACACAACCTAGGGTAAAATAGGCCAAAGACGTGATAATTAAAGCTCAAACGATCAAGAAACAAAGGGAAAAACATGTGCAAATATCGAGTCATCTGACGCCAAAAAGAAGATAAGAGAAGTCCAATGGAACATTAGAAACGACATGAGCCATAATCCAAAGGTCCAGAGGAGAATGAAGCCTAGAGACTGAGTGCGAGGAATCAGAATCCTGGAAATAACAAAGTGAAGTGCACGCAGACTAGGTAGAACTGAAGAGACAGGAATGAAGGTTGCTGATCCAGGGTGAATACCAGTCAACTGAATAAACTCGGCTGCAATATTGAAGTTAAAATGCCACAGTTCTGATTCATGGGTGAGAGACTCACCAATGGGAGGAATATTCAGAAGCCGAGCCAAATCAGAGACAGGAATAGTCACCTAGTGACCATAAACCACAGTAGAAAAGCTACGACTATGGAGACCAAAAGAACGAAGATTAGAGTTGAAGAACCAAACTAGCTCAGGACAAATCAAGGTTGGAGGATCCTCCAAGAGGAAATCCCACCCCAGATTATGTATAAATCCCAGGACATCAAGACCATAATCCACAAAGTCAGGAATATGAACATGAATCGGGGTGGCTATGGAGCGGTTTTCATAGAAAAGGGTATATGACAATGACGACTCAGAGAAACCGGATCAGAAAACAGTGAGCCTGTATATGTATGAGCAAAGACAAAAGAGAGGAATAGCTAAGATGGGCTAGGGGATGAGAGCATAACACTAAAATTCCCGAGGTATAAATAGAGCGAGGAAGAAGAGATGACACACATCCATACAGAAAACAAGGAAACAAAAATCACGAGAAGAAAAGGAAGCAGAATAAGCAAAAAGAAGCAAGAAAAATAACAGCAACAAGGAAAGAAAATACACTAAGAAAAGGCAAGAATCCGTCTGCAAGAAAATCTCTAAGATTTTCTGCAGACCTAAGTCCAATATCATAGCACAGAAAAACAAAGCGGTCAGCAGACAGGGGCTTAGTAAACAAGTCAGCTAGCTGATACTCAATAGGGATATAATTAAGTGAAATAACCTGATTGTGCACCAATTCTCGGATGTAATGATATTTGATCTCAATGTGTTTTGTCCAGGAATGTTGTACTGGGTTTTAAGTCATGCAGATAGTGCTGGTATTATCACAAAATAAAGGAATAGCAGGAACATGCAAACCATAATCTCCTAATTGATATTTTAACTAGAGGAGTTGAGTACAACATCCTCCTGCAGCTATATATTCAGCCTCGGCGGTAGACAGAGCTACAACCCCTTGTTTCTTGCACGACCAAGAGATAAGAGAAGTACCAACAAACTGACAAGCACCACTTGTGCTTTTACGATCAGTGAGACTTCCAGCGAAGTCATAATCACTGTAACTAAGTAAGTCAAAACTATTTTGCTTAGGATACCATAGACCTACATTCATAGTACCTTTTAAGTAACAAAAAAATTGTTTGACAGCAGCTAGATGACTAATTCTAGGATATGCCTGAAACCTAGCACACAGGCAGACATTGTACTGAATATCGGGACGACTTGCAGTTAGATAAAGTAAAGACCCAATCATTCCCCGATATAACTTCTCGTCTACAGGGGCACCTTTTTCATCTTTATCTCATTTTAAGTACACAGCCATGGGGGTTGGGCTAGAATTCATATTATAAAGATTAAACTTATGCAACATGGTATTTATATATTTCGATTGACTAATAAAATTACCATGAGAAGTTTGTTTGAACTACAGCCCAAGAAAGAATTGAAGCTCACCCATCATACTCATTTCAAAGGCAGATTTCATTGCTTCACAGAACTCAAAACACAGCAGGATCACTAGACCCGAAAACTATATCACCTACATAAATTTGAACAATGAGCATATGAGAACCAGAGGTTTTAGTGAATAGAGTTTTATCGACTGAACCTTGAGAAAACAATTGATCTTTAAGGAATTTGGTCAATCGATCAAACCAAGCTCTAGGAGCTTGTTTAAGACCATACAAAGCTTTGTTTAGCTTGTACACATGATCTGGATGTTGAAAGTCAGTAAAGCCGGGAGGATGAGACACATAGACTTCTTCTTGAATGTCTCCATTCAAGAAGGCACTCTTAACATCCATTTGGTACAAAGGAAAATTCTTATGACACGCAAAGGCACATAACAATCCAATCGATTCTATACGTGCTACAGGGGCAAAAGTTTCATCGTGATCTATCCCTTCTTCTTGGCAATAGCCTTGTGCAACAAGGCGTGCCTTGTTGCGGATAATATTACCTTCCTCATCAGATTTGTTACGAAAAACCCACTTTGTTCCAATGATGGTTTTCCCTAGAGGTCTAGGAACTAACTCCCAGACCTTAAGATATTCAAACTGAGATAGTTCCTCTAACATAGTGTAAGCCCATTCTTCATCATGTAGTGCCTCTTTATAAGACTTAGGTTCTAGTTTAGATACATAAGCATACTGGCCAGGAGTATACTTACCTCGGGTACGGAGACCATCTTTAATATTCCCGATGACTTGACTTTCAGGGTGTCTCTTTTGAATATGAGGTGGTGCTTGTATCCTGTCATCAACTTCACTAGAGTGATGAGACATAGGTTCTGCTTCTGTACTTGTTACTGGCTCGATGGATTAAGTTGCTTGAATGTGAGTATCTTTTGGAGGCTGCTGTTGCAATGATGATTCACTTGAATCTATTGTCTCTGCTGGTGTTTTTTCTTGCCAACGCGTTAATTCCAATAGATCGAGAAGCTGTGTATATGTCTCACATGTCTTAACAGAGGCATTAGCATTATCAAACAGAACATGAACTGATTCTTCAACCTTACGAGTACGTTTGTTATAGATTCTGTAAGCTTGCCCTTTCAAAGAGTACCCTAAGAAAATTGACTCATCTGACTTAGCATCAAATTTGCCAAGGGTATCTTTAGTGTAAAGAGTGAAGCATCGACATCCAAAAGGGTGAAAATAAGAGATATTTGGTGTCTTTTTCTTTAAAACTTCATAGAGAGTCTTATTTAGATGCTTTCTCACTAGAACTCTGTTAATAACATAGCAGGCTGTACTAACTGCCTCTGCCCAAAAGAACTTAGGGAGATCATAGTCAATCAACATAGTTCTTGCAGTTTCAATAATAGTACAATTTTTTCTCTCAACTACCCCATTCTGTTGGGGAGTTCTCGGAGCAGAAAAGGTATGAAGAATGCCTAATGATTCACAAAACTCAGAAAACTCATATGAGATAAACTCTCCTCCATTGTCACTTTTAATACTTTTAATTTCAGAATACATTTTGACAAAGGACTGAAACTTTTTAAAGGTTTCATCTTTGCTAGCAAGAAAATAGACCCAGCAGTATCTAGAGTAATCATCAACGAGAACAAACACATAGTTTTTGCCTCCAAGACTATTGATAGAGCATGGACCAAAAAGATCCATATGAATTAGTTCAAATGGCTTGATCGTAGCAATATCAGGTTTTATCTTAAAAGGTCTTCTGGAGTGCTTACCAGCAGCACAGGCACCACAAAAAAAATTCCTCGTTCCTTTAAATCAGGAATTCCTTGGACCAGATTAGATATAGACAGGGCAGCAAGCATTTTTAAGCTAATGTGGCCCAGTTTTCTGTGCCATGTAGCTTCCTGATAATCTGACTTGGAAACTATACATGATTCATTGAAGGCTTTTAGATCATGGAGATCAATCACATACATATTTCCAATACGATTACCAATAAACACAATTTTGTTATCACAGACACGTTCAACTAAACAGTGAGAGGTTTCAAATGTCACTTTGTTCCCACTACTGCATAACTGACTTATGGAAAGCATATTATGTTTAAGACCATCTACAAGCATGACATCTTTAACAGTTGGCATAGGAGAGAGACCAATAATTCCTTGTCCTACTACTCTGCCAGAGCTGTTGTTTCCAAAAACCACTTCTCCTCCTAATTCATAGTTTAAAGTTGAGAAGAGAGCTTTGTTACCTGTCATGTGATGTGAACAGCCGCTGTCCAGATACCATTTACTTTCAGTTCACTGAATTCATCTATGAGATCTTTGTGAGTTCCAGTGTTTGACATTCTTGCCATGTATGCCTCGTCGATATGCCCTTCATTGTCATCCTCTGACTCATAGTCGCTCCAAGAGGCAGCCATTGCTCGTTCTTTAGCCTTCAGTGTCAAAGGACAATTGGCTCTTACATGCCCCATCTTCCCGCACTTGTAACACCCTTGAGGTTCACGATCAGTTGCACCATTTTGTTGTTTGACTCACTTCTACTGTCACTCCAGGAATTGGTCAAGTGAAACCACTTCCTAAAGCGTAGTATAGCGGGTTTGGGTTTAAATGTCAACCCGGGTCCTAGATTTGATGACTACTCAGTGAATTCTTACTATCTAGCAATGAAACTTTAATGCAAGTCTAAACTAATAAACAAACAAAGCAAGTAAACTGTTGTATTCAGGTTAAGAGAAGTCACCCGGATATGGTTCCCCCTAGACTGCAGTTAAGCCGGATTGTAATTACCAAGTTCAGTTTCTATGATAGTTATACTGCGGAAGGTTCTTAAACAGCCTGAAGTCTCGACTAAAGGTCTTCAGACCCTCTCAATCTGAGTCTCTAGCGGGCGACTAACCTCCACCGGAGTAAACAGATTGAGGCCCTATGAACAAAACCTCCACTACCGGAGTAAATCCGGTACAGAATAGTGAGTTGGCTCCTCGACTAAAGTCACCAACTCCCTACCTTCAATCAAGGATGCTCTATCAACCTAGGCAGATATTCTCATTCTAGGTTAAAGCAGAAACAATAGGAATTTGATCAGGATTCATGCCATTCAATCAATCAAACCTCAATCGAATATAATCAAATCATAGAATCAGTACTTGGGTTCATACAATCAAAGCCTAACATACAAATCTAGGGTTCTCCATACCCAAATGAATAGGAGAACTACTCCATAGAGAAAGAAGCAAAAGCAGAATCAGACGCGGAATTCATACTGTGAAGGATGGATTCCTACTCCTGGACGTTGATCGGCACTTCTCCAAGCTCAAACTGGCCTCCAATGGTGATGAAGATCTAGCTAGGGCACTTGGAGACTCTTGTTCGTCACTTTCTCTCTCTAGGAATCGCTCTATCTCTCCAAAAACTTGAATCCTCTGATTTTCAGCCTTCTTTTCCCTTAAAACAGCTGCCTGTCGCGATACCCGGTCGAAATACCCGGTCGGGTATTTTGGGTCACGACCGGGTATAGTTAAAACGCACGTTTTGGCCAAGGGAAAATACCCGGTCTGCTCCAATAATCCCCGACCGGGGATTTAAGCCTCCCGACCGGGACCCCTCCTGTTTCTCAGACGCCAAAAAGGGAAAATCCCCGGTCTCCTCAGAATAATACCCGGCCGGGTATTTGTGGTTATGGCCGGGTATTTTCTTCCTCTAGCCCGCTTCAAGCCTCACTTGCTCCTTTCGACCCGAATCTCGTTCCTTCGCCTCGATTCCAACGCCGGGTCCTGAAATATGACATAAACACACAACCTCGCGTGAAATCGGCTTAAAACCCGAGAATCAACCTCTCAAACGGCTCAAGAATAGGGGTGAAAATACGTGTAATTATCGGTCTATCAAACTCCCCCACACTTAACCGTTTGCTTGTCCCCAAGCAAACCTAACTCAAACCAATGCAACTCTCCAGACCTCTATAGCAACAAACAACCCAGATCGTAGGTAGAGGACTTCCTAGATCATTTAGCAGCTTACGAGGTCAACCGACGCACAAGTCATCTCATAGCTTCTTCGGCGAGAGCACTAGTATCGAGTCGGCATCATGGCAAATAGTGAACAGAGGACAAATGAATTGTGGATGAAGAGATTCTCAAAAACAAAGGATCATGGACTCACATTTTTCAAGGTGCTCTATTCTCTTCTTGAAGATGGTTGGAACCCCTTTTCTTTATGTTTTGCTTGTTTTCTGTTTTTTTTTCTTTCAAGGGTCCCAACCTGCTCTTACCGGCCATGCCAGGAGCGGATGTCTCGAGCCTCGTGCGGGGGATAGACATGTAAGGGGGCTGGAGGTAGTAGGTGGAAATTGGGAACGGATTCCCATCTCCCCTTACACACTTTCGCCCTATTCGCACGGGAGACGTTATTTTAAAGCACATTTCCGAGCACCTGTTATTTTCAAAACATGATACAAGAGTCCATGACAGGTAGAGAATCCACAACACCACACAATTCAAGGGTCCTAAGATCACTAATTCACTCAATCAACCAACACAATATGAAGAAGAAGAAATGAGACTTCTTAAATGCATCAACATCCTCCATAGTGCTACGCTACCTCCCTAGGTTGCATATTACTATAAAGACTTTCAATTCAAAGCATACTGAGCAGGCAATTGCAAGGAACACGTACTTGGAGCCCTCAAATTTAAAAATTTGGACAGTGGACTAGGCTCCAAGCACACAAACAGATCTAATGCAGTCAAAAGATAAACATCCCCCCACACTTAAGATCGACATTGCCCTCAATGGAGAAGAGGGAAGGATAAGGGAAACGATGTTACCGGTGTGCACGGACTACATTAGACTGGAAGCGGACCCGCCGAGTGAAGCGGTCTGGGGAGGGACCAGTCTGGAACAAAGCACAGCTAAAGGAGAACAGAAGAGCTCAAACACAATATGTTAGGTCCAATGTCAGCCCAATAAGACATCATCCAAAACAAAAGAAAACAAACCAAAACCAAACTGGTTTACAATCCGACTCAAAACACAAGAAAGTCAAACCGCGGTGGGGTTGCCTCCCCACAAGCGCTTCTTTACCATCTTTTAGCTGGATGTCCATGGTGGATACTCAGGGAGGTGCAGGAACAGGTGCCTCCAAGAGCGGATCCACGTCGCTCTTGAGGTACAGCTTAAGGTTGTGGCCATGCACCCGACGGATGCGACCACCATCATCAGTCAGCTCGACCTGGCCATCCGGTAAGATGCAGGCGAGTGAGTACCCAGACGGCCAGGGTGGTCGTGGTGCAGGGGGTGGGACCAGCTCATAGTGGCCACCACCCTTCTTCCGTGCAGGTTTAGCAACCTGCTGCTTCGGCCGCCACTCCTCCTTGAGCTTTTTGTTCGGAGGTGAGGCTGGATGGAGTGGCGGCGAAGGAATGATAGGAGGGTCCTGCAAAATAAGAGGTGCAGAAGGATACACGGCAGGCTCGTGTACCTGATCAGAAATGGCATGTACAGGCGTAACAGCAATCATAGCACAGTGATCAAATTCAGTCACAGAGAAAGTAGCCTGTTCATTCCCAGCACGCAAGATCAGTTTACCATCATGCACATCAATAAGTGCCTTGGCGGTGGCAAGAAATGGTCTCCCTAGAATCAATGGCACATCCACATCCTCATGTATATCAAGAATAACAAAATCAACAGGATATGTGAATGCACCGACACTGACAAGCAGATCCTCTATGATTTTCCTAGGATGCACAATGGAACGATCAGCTAGCTGAATGCTCATCCTAGTAGGGCTAAGTTCACCTAGGTCTAGCTTTTTATACAACTTATATGGCATGACATTTATGCTAGCGCCTAGGTCCGCCAAGGACTTGCCTACATGCATGTTGCCAATAGTAAGAGGGATAGTAAAACTCCCTGGATCCTTGCGCTTTTCGGGCAGCTTGTTCTGCAGGATAGCAGAACACTCCTCGCTCATCAACA